CCCTTCACATTTTCGATATTTTTAATTATTGCATTTTTATATAATTCAATTTGATTACAAAGTTTTTTTAATAGTTAACTGTGCGCCTATAGATGTCGTGCTTAACCGGTCCCTGCAGGGTGGTGATGCGTACGGGGTCGGCTGCGGCATGCCGTCTCCCGTGCGCGTGTACGCGAGCACTGTATGCTGTTAGTTAGAGTACTTCTGCGAGGCCGTGGTATGGTCGTGCTTCAACACTGTCGTCCGTCCTTCGTGGCGAATCTCGCTCCCTGAAAATCTGCGGCAAGCAGGCGGAAAGACAATCTAATTAACAAGGAATTAACAGAGAAGTTAATAGGGTGAATAGTTCATCGAATTTCACAAACGAAGAGTTAGTTGGAGTTGTTAGCATAAATTGTTATTATGCATGGGTAGTGTGTGGTGTGTGTGTGTGTGTGTGTGTGTGTTGTGTGTGTGTGTGTGTTTGTGTGGGTTGTTGTGTTGTGTGTGTGTGTGTGTGTGTGTGTGTGTGTGTGTGTGTGTGTGGTGTGTGGTGTGTTTGTTGTGTGTGTGTGTGTGTGATGTGCTTGTGTGTGTGTGTGTGTGTGTGTGTGTGTGTTGTGTGTGTGTGTGTGTGTGTGTGTGTGTGTGTGGCGTGCGTGTGCGTGCGTGTGCATGTGCGTGTGCGTGTGTGTCGCGGTGTGCGTGTGTGGCGCGTGTGTGTGTTGCGCGTGTTTGTGTGCGTGCCGTGTGTGGGCGCGTGTGCGTGGGTGTGTGTGCGCGTGTGCGTGCGTGGTGTGTGCGCGTGTGCGTGCGTGTTTGTGTTGTGGCGTGTGCGCGTTGTGCGTGCGTGTGCGTGTGGGTGTGTGGCCGCGTGTGTGTGTGCGTGCGCGTGTTTGTGTGCGTGCCGTGGTGCGTGTGCGTGTGTGTGCGTGTGCGTGGCGTGAGGTGTGTGTGTGTGTGTGTGTGTGTGCGTGTGCGCGTGTGCGTGCTGTGTGTGTGTGTGGTGTGAGTGTGTGTGTGTGTGCGTGTGCGTGTGCGTGCGTGCGTGTGCGTGTGTTGTGGTTTTGCGGCGTGTGGCGTGCGTGTGCGTGCTTAGCGCCGCAGCAGGTTTTCGGTGTCTGTGAATTCCTGCGTTCATGCTAACCCACTGGTTAGGCGCATTAAAAATCTAATTTCTAAATGTAAATATAAATTTATGTTCCAAAGGCCACTCAATACATGATTTCATACAAAAAATATTCGCCGAATGTGTTTTCGATAAACTGACATAGAGCTGTGTGTGTGTATGTAATTTCTAAACATTATACACAAAATGCTTCAAATTCTGACAGACGCTATATATTAAAACTCGGTCACCTGCCTTCAAGTTCAACGCTGAAAACGTCCGATGCATGCTCATTTTTGCGTTACGCGTTTTCCGGTGCGGACTGATCCAACGTTTTATAACAAAACAAGTATTATGTTTGCGATAACACCTTGAGTGGCAATTTACGGGCGGCGGTTTGATATTTATTGCGGTGTGCATGAAATCTGATTAATCTTCTGCAATCACTTGTCATCCTGTGATGGCTTTGTTACCCCCATGGCATGCTGCTCCGATCCGATGCGAAACTCGCCATCGATAATTATGTGGCATGTGTAAAGAGAAGAGGTAAGAGAGAGAGGGCGGGAGGGAGAGGGAGAGCGAGAGAGAGAGAGAGGGAGGAGAGAGAGAGAGAGAGGGAGAGAGAGAGAGGAGAGAGAGAGAGAGAGCGAGAGGGGAAGGGAGGGAGAGAGGGGGGAGCAGAGAGATGAGAGAGTGAGAGAGAGAGAGAGAGAGAGAGAGAAAGAGAGAAGAGCAAGGGAGAGAGAGAGTAATTACACGAGAGAGAGAGAGATGGAGAGAGAAGGAGAGAGAGAGAGAAGAGAGAGAGAGCAGAGACGAAAGAAAGAGAGAAAGTGAGAGAGGGGGAGGGAGGGGGGAGAGAGGGAGAGAGAGATGAGAGAGATAGTGAGAGAGGTTAGAAAAGAGAGAGAGAGAGAGAGAGAGAGAAAGAGAGAAAGAGAGAGAGAGAGAGAGAGAGAGGAGAGAAAGGGGGAGGGAGAGAGGTAGAGAGAGAGAGAGAGAGAGAGAGAGAGAGAGAGAAAGAAAGAGAGAGAGAGGGAGAGAGAAAGAGAGGGAAGGGAATGGCAGGAGAGAGAGAGAGATAGCAGAGAGAGAATATATAGAGTCTGGTAGTTCTCCTTGAAGAAGAAGAGGAAGAAGAAAAAGAAAAAGAAGAAGGAAGAGAACCGAGAAAAAAGAAGAAGACGAAGAAAAAGACGAAAGAGAAGACGAAGAAGAAGAAAAAAAAAGAGGAAGAAAGAGAAGAAGACGAGGAAGAAGCAGAAATATAAGAATAAGAAAAAAGAAAAAGAAGAAAAAATAATAATAATAATAACAATAAGAAGAAGCAAAATAATAATAATAAAAAGAAGAAGAAGAAGAAGAAGAAAAAAAGAAGAAAAAGAAGAAGAAGAAGAAGACTCCCCCACACACGCCTTCACTCACCGTCGTCGTCTCGTACGGGTCCGTACACAATCTTGTATCCCTGCAGAATTCCGTGCAGACTGTTGAACGGCGGAGGGTGCCATTCTACGTTGATCGTCTGTGGAGACAGCGCCACGGCGTGCACGTCCTGAGGGGGGCTGCTCGGCACTGCATGGCGTCACAGAAGCACGATGTTATACGTAATACACCACGTATTGTACATCACCATAGATATGTACTATATACGTAATATAGACCATAGATATGCACTATGTATGTAATATATACGCACTATATATGTACTATAATTTATACGTCATGTATACGCTGTTATAGTGGCAATTACGAAGGAACAATGCGCGAATTCGGGTGTACACTAAGAGTGAGAATACTAGTACTACTTGCAAGAAGAGCAATGGCCCAGTTTAGGTCTAGGGTTAGTGTTAGTGTTAGTGTTAGTGTTAGTGTTAGTGTTAGGGTTAGTGTTAGTGTTAGGGTTAGGAGTAGGATTAGGATTATAATTATGTTACAACAACAACAGCAGCAGCAACAACAACAACAACAACAGGAGCAGTACCACCACCACCACCACCACCACCACCACCATCAACAGCAGCAGCAGCATGCAGCAGCAGCAGTAGTAGAAGGAGCAGTAGTAGAAGGAGCAGCAGCAGCGGCGGCAGCAACAGCAGCAGCAGTAATATCAGCAGCTGTAACAGCTCTAAAATCAGTACGGGGCGAAACGAATCGGGAAAATTATGATCATTGTTATATTGCGAGCGAACGCACTTTACGCGAAACGGCGCCATTATACGCCGTCACCATAACGACCGCGCGCGTCCGGCGTCTGCCACGGATAACGATGACGATCATTGTGATGACGATCATGACGTCTTAAAGTTGTGTGTGTGTGAAGGCGAGAGGGGGTGTGGGTGGGTGCGAGACGAGGGCAGCACGGATCTTGACCTACATGACGATTTACACCCGTTTCAGTGTTATTTAAATTTCATTAGGCTTTTCTTTCGGTTTCCCTCATAACATAGGAGATAGCTTCCCCCCGTGGGTAGCTACCCCTGTGGGTAGCTTTTCCCCCGTGAGTAGCTTCCCCCGTGGGTAGCTTCCCTCCCGTGGATAGCTTCCCCCCGTGGGTAGCTCCCCCCGTGGGTAGCCTCCCCCGTGGGTAGCTTTCCCCCCGTGGGTAGCTTCCCCCCGTGGGTAGCTTCCCCCGTGGGTGGCTTCCCCCCGTGGGTAGCTTCCCCCCGTGGGTAGCTTCCCCCCGTGGGTAGCTTCCCCCCGTGGGTAGCTTCCCCCCGTGAGTAGCTTCCCCCCGTGGGTAGCTTCCCCCCGTGGGTAGCTTCCCCCCGTGGATAGCTTCCCCCTCGTGGGTAGCTTCTCCCCGTGGGTAGCTTCCCCCCGTGGGTAGCTTTCCCCCAGTGAGTAGCTTCCCCCGTGATTAGCTTCCCCCCGTGGGTAGCTTCCTCCCGTGGGCAGCTTCCCCCGTGGGTAGCTTTCCCCCCCGTGTCCCTCAGAGGCCACGGCGCTGTAATGCAACAGTTTCATTTACGGAAAGTATGAAAATCGGAAACGGATAAAATCAGAACCGGATCGGAAAATTTCGTTCGTACGTCGATCGTACTCATAACCGGATCGGTTCGAGAACGTCTCGTACTTTCTTATGCTCGATTATTCCTATTTTTGTACGTCAGTGTGTTTGTGCAACATTTGTGGTTTTCCTGTAAATTTCTCCCAGCATTTCGCTGGGATCGACTCACACGTACCTTCTTCTCCTCCTTGTATTTCATGCGGATCGTGTACTTGGTGATGATTCCGTTTGGGTGCAATGGAGGGCGCCACGCGACTATGATCGCGCTTGGACCCATCGGCAGTGCCTTGATGTCCCCTGGTTGACCCGGAACTGGAAGGTCAAACGGGGAATATATTAGTAAATTTCCAGAATTAGATAAAACATGAATTCAAATCATATAAAATCAAATAATCAATTAGAAGCAAGTAAACATCCACGAAACACTGCAAACCGACAAATCAACACAAAAAACCCACAATATTATGTTAACTTCACATTTTCATATTTTTCATTATTGCATTTTTATTATAACTCAATTGATTACAAAGTTTTTTTAAATAGTTAAACTGTGCGCCTATAGATGTCGCTGCTTACCGTCCTGCAGGGTGGTGATGTGTACGGGGTCGCTGCGCATGCCGTCTCCCGTGCGCGTGTACGCGAGCACCTGTATGCTGTAGTTAGAGTACTTCTCGAGGCCGTGTATGGTCGTCTTCAACACTGTCGTCGTCTTCGTGCGAATCTCCTCCTGAAAATCTGCGGCGACAGCGGAAAGACAATAATTAACAGGGAATTAACTGAGAAGTTAATAGGGTGGAATTAGTTCATCGGATTTCACAACGAAGAGTTAGTTGGAGTTAGCATAATATTGTTATTAATGGGTAGTGTGCGTGTGTGTGTGTGTGTGTGTGTGTGTGTGTGTGTGTGTTGTGTTGTGTGTGTGTGTGTGTGTGTGTGTGTGTGTGTGTGTGTGTGTGTGTGTGTGGTGTGTTTGGTTGTGTGTGTGTGTGTGTGATGTGCTTGTGTGTGTGTGTGTTGTGTGTGTGTGTGTTGTGTGTGTGTGTGTGTGTGTGTGTGTGTGTGTGTGCGTGCGTGTGCGTGCGTGTGCATGTGCGTGTGCGTGTGTGTGCGTGTGCGTGTGTGGCGCGTGTGTGTGTGCGCGTGTTTGTGTGGCGTGCCGTGTGTGTGCGCGTGTGCGTGGGTGTGTGTGCGCGTGTGCGTGCGTGGTGTGTGCGCGTGTGCGTGCGTGTTTGTGTTGTGGCGTGTGCGCGTGTGCGTGCGTGTGCGTGTGTGTGTGCGGCGCGTGTGTGTGTGCGTGCGCGTGTTTGGTGCGTGCCGTGGTGCGTGTGCGTGTGTGTGCGTGTGCGTGGCGGTGAGGTGTGTGTGTGTGTGTGTTGTGTGTGCGTGTGCGCGTGTGCGTGCGTGGTGTGTGTGTGTTGTGAGTGTGGTGTGTGTGTGCGTTGTCGCGTGTGCGTGCGTGCGTGTGGCGTGTGTGTGTTTGCGGCGTGTGGCGTGCGTAGTGCGTGCTTGCGCGCAGCAGGTTTGTGTCCTGTAATTCACCTGCGTTCATAGCTAACCCACTGGGTTAGGCGATTAAAATATCTAAATTCTAAATGTAAATATAAATTTATGTCCAGAAGCGCACTCATACATGATTTCATACAAAAAATATCGCCTGAAGATGTGTTCTTCGATAAACTGACATAGAGCTGTGTGTGTGTCATGTAATTTCTAACATTAACACAAAATGCTGTCAAATTCTGACAGACGCTATATATTAACAACTCGGTCAGCCTGCCTTCAATGTTGCAACGCTGAAACGTCGATGCATGCTCATTTTTGCGTTACGGGCGTTTTCCGGGCGGCCAACGTTTTATAACAAAACAAGTATTATGTTTGGCGATAACACGTTGAGTGGAATTTACGGGCGGCGGTTTTGATATTTATTGCGGTGTGCAGTGAAATCGATTAACTTCTGGCCAATCACTTGTCATCCGTGATGCTTTTGTTACCCACCATGGCAGCTCCTCCCGATCGCGATGCAAACTCGCCATCGATAATTATGTGGCAGTGTAAAGAGAAGAGGTAAAGAGAGAGAGGGGAGGAGGGAGAGGGAAGAGCGAGAGAGAGAGAGAGGGAGAGAGAGAGAGAGAGAGGGGAGAAGAGAGAGGAGAGAGAGAGAGAGAGAGAGAGGGGGAGGGAGGGAGAAGAGGGGGGAGCAGAGAGATGAGAGAGTGAGAGAGAGAGAGAGAGAGAGAGAGAAAGAGAGAAAGAGCAAGGGAGAGAGAGAGTAATTTACACGAGAGCAGAGAGAGATGAGAGAGAGAAGAGAGAGAGAGAGAGAAGAGAGAGAGAGCAGAGAGAAAGAAATGAGAAAGTGAGAGAAGGGGGAGGGAGTAGGGGGAAGAGGGAGAGAGGGATGAGAGAGATAGTGAGAGAGGTTAGAAAGAGAGAGAGAGAGAGGATGAGAAGAGAAAGAGAGAAAGAGAGAGAGAGAGAGAGAGAGGGGAGAGGAGAGAGGAAGAGAGGTAGAGAGAGAATGAGAAAGGGGGAGGGAGAGAAGGTAGAGAGAGAGAGAGAGAGAGAGAGAGAGAGAGAGAGAGAGAGAGGCGAGGGAGAGAGGCAAGAAGCGAGAGAGGAGAGAGAGAAAGAGGAGGGAAGGGGATCTAAGGAGAGAGAGAGAGATAGCAGAGGAGAATATTATAGAGGTCTGGTAGTTCTCTTGCAAGAAGAAGAGGAAGAAGAAAGAAGAAAAAGGAAGAAGAAGAGAAGGCCGACGAAGACGAAGAAGAGCGAAGAAGAGAGAAAAAAGGAGGAAGAAAGAGCACAGAAGACGAGGAAGAAGGCAGAAAATATAAGAATCCAGAAAAAAGAAAAAAGAAAAAGAATAATAATAAATACCAATAAGAAGAAGCAAAATACATAATAATATAAAAGAAGAAGAAATAAAGAAGAAAAAAAGAAAAAAAGAAGAAGAAGAAAACTGCCCACACACGACTGTCAGACGCACCGTCTCGTCTCCTACGGGTCCGTACACAAATCTTGTATCCCTGCAGAATTCCGTCAGACTCGTTGAACGGCGGAGGTGCATCTACGGTTGATCGCTGTGGAGACAGCGCCGGCGTGCACGTCCTGAGGGGGGCTGCTCGGCACTGCTATGGCATCACAGAAGAGC